GCAAGTAGGTTACTGTCATGCAGTGCCAGTCAGACTAGCTCCTGAACCCCCTGTGAATTTACTAGTATGATTGCTGCTTTATTAGCATGCACTAAACACGTGCCACAGTTCCTTTCTGTCAAAGTTCATTAAAACAGAAATGCACTGGCAGCTGTCATTTCCTAACAAGGCACATTTTTTTCAAAGTGCTGTGTTTTATATATGGTGTGAAACAGATACAATGGGTGCATTTTTATAATATTTTGTGTAAGAAAAAATATTCTGAACACTTTGTTGCATGATAGAAAGCACTGGCAAATTTATACAAGTGTATATTACCCAATTGTACAGTCAGATCTGGATTCTACTCTTTACTCAGAGCTCATTGTCCTATCTGAAAAAAATACAGATCAAAAATTATATTTTTAGGTTTGTTTTTAAACATGCTGACTAAAAGCAAAAGGATACAGTATCTCCTAAGAATGCAAAACACGGCTTTATCATTTCAGAATCCTTTAGTGGCTTGTTTAATATACTGCATTGTTTACATCATATACATACACATTTGCAAAACTTGTCTTCAAATTGGATTATTGATTAAATCACTGTATAACAAGAGCAGATGAATGCACTAAGCTTGTGCAGTGCAACCTGACTGAAGATTAGCCATTACACCTGTGTTGCATCAAGGATCTCACCTACCCAGAGTTCTCTGACTCTGTTCCAGTACTCTCTGAAATCCATCGAAACCTTCTTTTACCCAAGTGTTTTTCTGACTTTAAAACAATTATTTCCTATTATTGATACTCAGAGGAAAGTATTAGAGCAACAGGAGGCATCTCTATACAATTATACCTTGAGAACAAGGAGTCAGGTTTTGTCTAGTGGTGCAGACAGCAAAAATGTCTCTCAGCTGACTAACCTCCTATCCCTGACCCCTTTCTTCCCTCTTGCTTTTCCAAGTTAGAAAAATATTTTAAATAGAGCCACTGAAAAGTGTTTCCAAAAGGCACCACAGCTATAGATTCCCAGAGATAACAACTTAGCACCGTAACAGGAAAAAAGGGCAGCAGGTGAAAAGGGCTGTTGAAAGTTTTGATGTTGTATCTCAGTTCATATGCGCAAGGCTGAACCCTACAACAAATGAGTGGCACTGAAGTCTGCCCCAGCCACGCTACAGGCACTGTTACACTGTTAGTGGCAATTGGAGTCACAGTACATAGAATCATAGAATCACAGAATGGTTCAGGTTGGAAGGGACCTTAAAGATCATCTAGTCCCAACCCCCATGCATGGGCAGGGACTCCTCCCACTAGAGCAGATTGCACAGAGCCCCATCCAACCTGGCCTTGAACACTTCCACGGAGAGGGCATCCACAGTTTCTCTGGGCAACCTGTGCCAGTGACTCACCACCCTCACAGGATTGAATTTCTTCCTAATATCTAATCTAAATCTACCCTCTCCCAGTTTAAAGCCATTACCCCTTGTCCTATCACTACACAACCTTATAAAAAGTTTCTCCTCAGCTTTCCTGTAGCCCCTTCAGGTACTAGAAAGCTGCTTTAAGGTCTCCCTGGAGTCTACAGGCTGAACCACCTCAATACTCTCAGCCTGTCTTCACAGGAGAGGTGCTCCAGCCCTCTCATCATCTTTGTGGCCCTCCTCTGGACTCAATCCATGTCCTACCTGTGCTCAGAGCTCCAGAACTAGACATAGTGCTCCGGATGGGGTCTTATGAAAGCGAAGTAGAGGGGGAGAGCCATCTCCCTTGACATGTTGTGGTTTAGCTAAAGCATTCCACACATCTGTATTTAACTCCAAGCCAACTTATTTTTCAGGTCACTATTACATAATTTTAATTAGGAAATAGTTATATGGTACTCACAGTAATAAAAATCTGAATCCACTACCAGGCAGGTTTAGCTAGGGTGTTTTAAATCTAAAGACCTAAACCCTCCTCTAATTGTGTCCTTGACACGAAGTTGCCTGATCATCTACAACATCCTGACCTTGGAGAATCATTTCAGTACCAAACATTATTGGGTATTTATTTCGCAACCATCCTATCCAGGCAGTGATCTGCTAATATGCTTGTTATCAATACCCATCAAAACTGGGTTAGCACGTGGCTACATCAACTGATGCTCCTGCTATGAAGTCAAACAAAAGGCTCACAGGAGTGGCAGTAGGAGGGGCTGTATCCACACTTACCCTACCCTCAACCTCCTCTAACAGTTTAAAAGAACCAGCTCTTCTAAAAGGCAGCCAGACAGCTGCTAGGCACTGCACAATCTCTGTTCAACTTAGTAATGAAACCTTTGGAAAGATGAACTTGTATTTTATAACCAAATTAACTTTTACATTGAAGTCCATTACTCCAGTGAAAATAATTCACACATGGAAATAGCTAAACTCATTGTGCTCTGACATTTAATTCCATTACACAGCTTTCTCTTAAGCAAGTCAGAGTTCCTCTGTCTGCTGCTGCTCCTTTCTGTTCTTCCTTATAAAACAAACATGATGACAGCAAGAAATGGGTATTCCTACTTTACATTTACATGGCATCTCTTATCCAAAGGCCTTATTTCAATAATAAAATACCAGGCCATCACCAAAGAAAATTTTTCTCACCACAGCACTTAGAAAAACAAGCAAGCTACAGATGCGTTTAAAACAAACTTAACTGATTCCTAGCTCCTCTTGAAAAGCAAAGGCCTTCTATAAAACAGGGCAGCTCCAGAGTCCCACATTGGTCTGTGTTCATACACACACACGCAACTAGATAAAAGCACCCAAACACGTGTCCACACTTTTCCCTTCTCCTTCTTCACAGATAGAGACAATAACTGAGGAAACAAAGCAGGCAATCTGCCTGAAGGCCTTTCTTTCAAAGGGGGCTTTAATGATCTCTTAAACACTTGCAGAGCAGCCTTATTTCTGAGCCTTAACTCTGTAGGGTAGAAAGACTCCTTAGGTACCCTACTTTTCAGTGCCACATGAAGTGAAATGCAGTTGGTATGATGGCAAGAGCCTGAGTCCAGAAGTTGTATCACAAATGAGGCAGCCAAACACTTCTCTGAATTACACTCTCCTTCACCTGGAGGAGACCTTCTTACTGGCTGTTATTAAAATACAGCTTTTACTCTGCATCACTTTTACTAATGGATTTGATCTAGACATGAATAACAACCGCACAACATCCATATTCACTAGGCTACTGTGAGTCTGTCTAAAATCAGTAATAATTTACATGGAAATTGTATCTACTAGAGGGAGCCCATATGGCCAATAGAACAATATTGACACAGGCAAGAAAGTTATTTAAACCTTTTACATAAGGGCTACACAGTTCAGACAAGATACAGCCCTTAGTTCCCCAGGTGTTTGACTTCACAAAATTTAGAGGTAACAGATTTTATAACTGCACATGTTTTTAGTATCTGTCCTTCCAAACTGAGTTGTTGAAATGCTTCTAACTGTACATAACATGTCTGAGAACAATAAAAGAAATAATAAAGGCAAAAGATCTAAATGTTTTCTAGGTTTATTACTATCATAATGAGAGCTTTGAACCATACTGTTACATCACTGAAAGACGAAAAGAAGAAAAAAAACAAAACAAAAAACAAACAACTTGATGCAGACCCTCCTTGTGGTACTCAAGGATTTGAAAAGAAACACCAGTAGGTCTCTTTACACAGATTACTCAAGACCAGTAAGGTAAATTTTGTACTGGTTCTGATTAATGTGAAAGCAAAAAAAAAAAAAAAAAGGAGTACACAACTCTCAACACAATTCTGAAAATACAAGGTGTGCTTGGTTTTCAGTAACCTCTGGTGTCAGTTTCTTCACTAGATAGTTAAAAGATCAGAAGAAAAAAAATGAACAGCAGCATCACACATACAATTTCTGTAAGCTGCACCAATTTTGATGCCTAGGGTCTTAGGCGCTTTGTCCTGCAAAGTTACATTAATTTCCCTTTGTACATAGAAGCTGTCTTGGTAATCCAAATCAAGATTATATCTAAAAATGTGAAAGGCAAACTGTAAATTCTGAGAACTTTCTCAATTTGTAGTTGGACAGTGCTTCACAAAACTAGGATTCAATTTTTAGTGAGACTTCAGAGAGGTTCCTAATTACAATTAATCAGGACCTCGGCCATTTACACTTGTAAAGTAATTGCCACATTCTATTCAAGGAGCACAAAAGAAAGCTATTTTATAGAATCATAGAATCGTTTGTGCTAGAACAGACCTGAACAGTCATCTAATCCAACCTGCCTGCAGTGAGCAGTGACAAAGTGGTAAGGAGTTTGAAGTTAATTTCTAGTTTATATGTTCAAACTATGTCCAATTTTCTCTAAGAAGCAAAACAAGAAGACTAAATCGGGGCTTCCTTTGAACTCATTTTCTCTTCCTTCCTCCCGTCTATCACAGAATGCCACATGCCCACTCACACAACTTCACTGGTTTACATTACCCAATTAGTTTGATGCAACTGTTCATTTAAGTAAGATTAGCCACATTCTTGAGTATTTGAAGATTATATTTTTATAATTATTGTATTTGCTGCTCCCAAATCTGTCCACTGCATTTTCTTGGACTGTAAGTAACATGTTTTGAACACTTGAATTTACTTTCCCTCTTTTCTCTGTTAAAAAAACCTCTAACAAAAAAACCCATACACAGCCCTAGAGGAAATAAAAAACAATATCAAAGAATCAACTAGGCTGAATACATAGTTCTTTCACAGAAAGAGTCTGCAATAACAGTGTTTGCTCAGCACGCATCTGACAAAGCACTTGAGAAACTTTCTCGCTTCACGAGTTCCGGAAAAGAGCTCAAGGTTCACATGAGATACCACACAGAGCAAGACGTGCGTAGTTACCAACAGTATCCAGTAACACCTGTGAGTTGGACTCATTAAAGATTTAACCAGAGAAGTCACATGCACACTGAAAAATGGCTGACAACAGCCATGCTTAATGCACGTCTCAAAAACTTTGAAAAAGGGAACCAAAATGGAGTTACCTTTGGACGAGGAGGATGGCACTTTCACCAGCATTTCTTTGGCAGATGATTCAGGTAAGAAATTACAGTCATATACTGATACAATACAAATTCTGTATTTGTATACAAATGACAGCTGAATGATAGCACTGGGCGACCACACAAAGCTGTAGATCCTAATTATCTTGGACATATTTTTAGCAAATGCCCTTTTCTAGTCGTGTAATTGAATAAACCTCATGATTAGTTATGAATTGAGATTTTAGGGGTATGGAGGCTACCAGTTTTCAGATAATGCATGTGACAATATACATTTGTCTTCTGAGCACATATAGCCTTCCACTGTTTAAAAAGGAAAAGTTAAAGAATTGTTAACTCAGTAGCTATAACTGTCAAAGAAAACAGAGATAATGCTTCCCTTTCCTCCTGAAGATAGAACAATAATCTCTTTGACATACCCTAGTGAGAGCTCACAAGGACTGATGCAAATTAATTGGTAATGAAAACAATCTGATGCATTTAAATCTCCATTATTAAATATTTGTTTTAAAAGAAACTAAAAAAGCAAAAACTGCCTTTCCCTTTCCCCTACCTACATTCCCCCTCTTCAAGCTTATGGAATAAAAAGTATTTGGAAAGGGAAGCAGGACAGTTCTACGTACTGGAAAAGTGAAGTGAGTTAATGCGAACTAATAATAAGGTGTGGCCAGAGCTTCAACTTGATCATGCCAGCATGGCTGCCACAGAGCTGTGCTAATTTACACTAGTTAGGAATCTGGATTGCTTCTTAATGAATAATACAAGGCCTATTTTCTTTGGGTTTTTTTAATAATGTGTTTTTTCTTCATGTTTTAGTTTAAGAATGTTATTGTACATGCTATCTTTACCTCCTATATAAAAAAAAATTACGGAGTTGACCTTCTTTTTAGAAGATGGTTTTCTAGCAATTTCATATTAGTGTGATGGCATAAACTGGATGATTGAATGCACTTTGTTTATACAGCATACAGCCCAAGACAGCCAAATGTGTGTGGTTGACCCAAACTATTTACAATAAGATAAACTGACCAGACTTTGGTCCAAGTTATACAGTAATGGAGGCTTCTCCTGACAGTGAATCTTGCTCTTTTCCTGCAGCAAGGTCTAGAACAGTATAGAAAGGTATCCTGACACTGTTTCACGACTTGCTGCACAGTTGATAACATGGCAAGAACAGAGGAGAGGCAGAAGGTAACAATGAGACTGTCTTTTGCAAAGCAGTAGCAGAGTTAGGGATGATCCACAATATTGGATGGGTGTTTTTAGCCTATCGCTTGTTTAGCCTTAGGTTTCTTTCTTTAGAAGGCAAACACCCACTAGCCTCCTCTACTACTCTAACCTCAGCACCCTTTAGCTCAGACAACGTTAATACACATAAGAAATCAGAGGCACAAAGGTAAAAACTCCCTCATTCAAGCACCCACTGACTCTTTGATACCAGAATATACTCACCAATGCTAAACCCTGACAGATGTCACTGATATAAAAGTAGCTGCTCAGCAACAGTGCAAATAAAATTCTACTGCACCTCAGAAACTGAGCACTTCAAATATACCAGAGTCCTGACTGCAGTGACACGCCCAAGGTCAGAGAAAGCTCATATTCACAACACAAAGAGAACCTTCAAAAAGGCTTCTTTATGCAAGATCTGCTACCAATATCCAAGCTTCTCCCACAGCAGTGAAGAGGTGGGGGCAGTCACTCAAAAGTAGAGAGAATTCAGAGTAACTGAAAATAAGTGACATTTTCAGGCAAGCTTTTAGCTTGCAGGCATGGAGGGAGAATACAGTAAAATTCATGGTGCACATGATAACCCTGTTCCATTTCTTCTGCCAGGGGGCAACACCTGGAGGCTAGAGAGCAAGCTATAAAATTCCTAACTTAAAAATTGGAAGAGACTATCATATACTTTGTGGGAAACAGTATTCCTTATCTCTCCCAGTTTAAATAAAGCCTAATTATGGTAACTCTGCAGCAAAGAAGCTAACAAACAGAATGGGTCTTACAGCTGTAGGGTTAGAGAAGAACACGAATTCCAGAAGAGCAGGGAGGTTAAAAACAAAAGTTTTACATAGTGAGTGAGAAAAAGATTATTTAGGATGGGCAACTTAGCAAGTTCAAGCAAGGAATACGGAAACTAGACTTGCAATTTGTAGATAATAAGTGGACTTTGCCTGAGGATGACCTGGTGTTTTAGAAGCAAGTGTTCTATGATTAAATTTTAAGTAGGATCACAAAGATGCACTGGTTTTAATGAACTCCAGTATGTTTGTAATTGCATAAGGCTTTCTCCTCATTTATTCAAGAGTACTGTAAAAAATACTAAACAGGCAAGTAGAACCACATTCCATGTATGTACAATTGGAAGCATAATCAGAATATAGTCTTTGTATCAAAGTTTCTGTAGTACAGTGAAAAGTTGTGGCAAACAACAGGGATGTTACTGAGCCTAATTAACGGCATACGATGCATGAATATTTAATAGCTATTGCTCTTTCAAAACAGCAGCTTTTCTCCATTTCTTAAGTACACAGGTATTAAATCACTTTCATGTAAATGAAGATGAACACAATATGGTAGCAAGATAGAAACTTCTCGAAAAGTATTTTAATAGCAATATCAAAAATGCATGAAATAAAGGAAAACATTCATTATCAGCTTTTGTGAAAATATTTTCACCTTTAAATACTTTTTCATTTAGAAACTCAAAGCCCTGGATAAAGTTCCCTAAAAAAATGACCTACACAAACACGAGCACAGAGGAAATTAAACAAAATATAAAACAACACAGTGAGATGATGACCAAAAGCTGTAAATATTCTCTTACTGTTCTTCAGATAGATGCTGCCTAAATAAAACAAGGCTCTTCCTTCACTGGAAAAAAACTAGAAATTCTCTTACTATTTTTTTCAAATGCACTTCACAGAGAGACAACATTAAGGATTACATTACTCGTGTAAAGCTCTCCTTGTAATAAGCAGATACAATCCCCTAAATATTTAGGCCTAACTTACAGAAAGGCAAAACAGTTTTTCATCTCATTAAGTTACCAGTAAAGCTTTATGGAACCTTGCTGAATGCCCTTCCACAAAGATTGGTGGCAAATATACAGCTGATGATTACAAGGAGAAGCAAACTGTTAACAGGTCAACATTATGTCACACGTGTTGGCACTCACAGCCTAAAGCTGCAAAGAGTTGCTCAGTCTATTAAAAAATGCATTTTTGTAGAGTCAGAAATGAGAACATTTGCAGTCATGCACAATTCTGCAAAAGATAGGATGCAGTTATGTTAGAAGGCAGGCCTCTTTAGGGTTAAAGAGAAAACATGATTTTCTAAGGCTTTATTTCTGCAGACTTTCTAAGGAGATGGGATTATTTCCCCCAAATGTCTGCTTACAAGTTACATCATATAATGCTGTCCCATTCCCATTTGTGACCTACAGCACTACCAAAACACACACAATAAGACATGGACAATAGGTAGACGAATATAAGTCAAAATAGCTGCTCTTTATGTATAATTTGATTTGGTTAGAAGATGTGGAAACTAAGAACTACTCAAATTCCACATTTGTCAGAAGTCTGTACTTGCAAACTTGCACCAGGACGTGCATAAGGCTACAAAAGCCTTTTGAGGTTATTTGGAAAGAGTAAAAAAATTGCAAAGAATTCTGGTGTAAAGCAACATCACTTGAAAAAAAACAACTTCTCAGAGTCTGTAATTTTTGCAGAGAAAGCAAATGATGAAGATTTGATGTAAAGGGTCTTGCGAGTTAGTACTGCAAGGAAAAAGAATTAAGCCATCTGCATTCCTTTTCACCACTTCTTTTGTGGGAGTAATTAGTTACAGGAGAAAACAGTCCAGTTCAAATAGCAAGCTCATCTCAGAAATATGTACAATACCTTCTTTCTGTTAATGACAAGGAGAATACATTTCTATTCTAGTGGTGAACAGTGAAGCCTCTGTCATCAGTCAGCTTACACAGGCGCCTCTACTGCCTGTATCGTTGCCAAAAAGGAAGTGAAAAGCTTGTTGGTTTGCACTGTGTACCATGGAAAAAACAAGATGTACACCAGAGTTTTAGAAATAAAACATCTGAAAGTGCTTGTCATTAACAGCAATGACTTAGAATCTCAGTCCAGAGCAATAAAATTCTCTCCTGTAGCTTTGTGACTGCACTCATAAATGCATTCAGGTTAACTATTAATGATGTCTTACAGCCTAGGGAGATAGTTGCTATTTTAAGCAAAAAATGCTTTTTCAGTGAAACTGAATAAATCCATTCCTTTTGCCAGAAACATCAGCTAGTTTTAGGAAAGCTTAATTGGAACTTAACATACAAGTACAGATAATTGCATTTGCAACTTGCAACTTGTTATTCCTATAAATTTAATAGGGATGACAATATTATGGATGCCCCTCTGCTTTATCCAAACACCTTAAAAATGTAAAATTAATTAGTAAGACAGGAGGGGATTAGCACCTGTTCTTAGTTACATTCTAGTCAGTTTTGACTTCAGGAGTTCTGACCCACTGCTAAAAACTACACGCTCTCTTTATAACTCTTCAGTCAGAAAATCCACTTAACTGTAGTGAGTGATCTGGTGTGTAGTGCAAAAACAGTCTAATAAACCAAACAGTGGGACATTACTTAGGGCAGCATTCAAGTATTGACAGTAATAAAGAGTATCTTTTTCTTTATTCTTTTAAACTGCAGAGTGGCTATTAGTATGTTGTTATGCTGCTCTACAGGAGAAAACAACTAATTTCCAGCATTTGTGAACATTATTTCCTTGATAAGGTGTATTTTCTCTAAAGTAGAGAGCAGTAAGTTTGTAAACAAAAGTGAAAAAAAGCTCTGTGAGCATTGGTTGTGCCCCATCTCTCAGCCTTGCATTGCATATTCCAAAGACTCTTAGTAAACAGTCACATAGTGAAGCTAACTTAGTTCCTCACACTTGCATATAATTAGTATTTACCCCATTAATTTTGCCCCTCCCAGCGAGCAGGAAAACCACAGAGAAGCAAACCCT